GCCCCTTTGTTTTTTGGTGTGTTTGTGGGCGGTTGTTTTCTTAAAAAACATGTCCATATTTGAAACACTCTGCACTGGCCATACTTGTCCTTTATTCCCAGGTCACATGCAGCAGTCTTTCAGGGGGAATTCATCTTACCTAACTTTAGGTGTCCACAGTGTAGGTGCAAGCAGCCACCTCAGGGCCAACCTCTAAGCTCCAGTCAGAGCCAAGAGATGTTTGGGCAAAACAAGGCAGCAGCATTCAGTGTGATTCAATACGCCCAGGGCCAGGGCTGCTCTTGGCTCTGGTCCATCTTGCTCTTCAGGCTCTCCAGACCTAATGCACTCTCTCTCCCCCTCTCCTGTGAGGGGAGGTAAAGTCAGCTGCAGTCACCTACACTTGATGGACACAAACCCTTCCTGGGACAATTCCCACCAATAAAACCATGTGGGGCTTTAAAAAACCTACAGGCATCAGAGGGCAGGCAGCCCTCAGAGGAGACTTGAATTTCTGTGTCATTGCAGGCTAGGACCAGGCAGCCTTCCTGCTGGTAAAGATTTTTTCCTCTGGGACCTACCCACTGTGATCATTTTCAGTCGTCATCTTCTCAGATGCCGAACGCTGCTCATCTCTTGAAGCTATGATTTTTGGTGAATTAGAATTACTACATGCAAATGTCAGCACAACAAACCTGAAAAGGCGCTACAATAAGCATCCAGCTTTAGTGCAAAACCTTGCACACAGATCAAATCAGACCCTTCCTCATGCACAGAGTTCCTCATCTTGTGCAAGGAACCCTTGGGCATTTTATCAAGCATGCAGTTTGCAGTATTTCCCAGGCTAGCTGTCATCCACTGACGCATGCGGTACTTCTTTCCCAGAGGCCCTACCATCATCTGACAACCCCAGCCACGCCTTCAGGACAGAGAAAGAACTGACAGCTCCCATGTCTTGCCATGATCTGGGGAAAGTCTCACACCAACGGGCACAAACAGCAAAGCAAAATACAAACCTTCTGCCCAAAATCCTCTGTTAAAACACCAAGACACCTCTCATGCAAGAAACCACTGGGGAAAACCAAGCACCCACCTTCACAGGAGAACGTGAACAGGCCCGCAGAGGAAGCAACACAAAAATCTCAGAAGAAAATGAGGGGAAGGACAAATTGCATTTCTCAGCCGTGCTCTCCACCAAGTCTCATTATCTGTCATCACACATCCTACCCAGCTCCTTGCCGCAGGAACACAGGGCTTTGAAACCTCTCCCCAGAAAGACACGCTCAGAAGAATGAGAACAAACACTGCAGGGTTTTCTGCCCTTTCTTCCAGGAGATCCCATCTTACTGGCCAAACAGCCGGGCTTTGCAAGCTTTCGCAGACTCACAGAGCTCGACTCTCTGATGGCACCAGTTCACCTTGGTACTGTTCCATAGAATCATAGAATATCTCAAGTTGGAAGGGACCCATAAGGACCATCAAGTCCAACTCCCTGCTCTTCACAGGACTACCTAACACTAAACCATATGACTAACAGCGTCGTCCAGACGCTTCTTGAACTCTGACAGGCTTGGTGTCATGACCACTTCCCTAAAATATGGAACGCAGTACAAAATCTGATTGATTGTGGCAGTTCCTACGACGAGACCTACAACACCTGGAGTCAAAGCACAACACTGCTGATATTAGTAAACTGTCAGCACACCACCACTAGCTCAAGCATCCAGGAAATACAAAGGAGAGCAGAGGCAAACTGGCACTTCAGCTGGTCTTCAGGTTGCCCTGAAAAAGCAAATCACAGTCATAGCTCAACATGTTATTTTGCAAAAAAAATTTGTGAAGTTCATATTGCACAAAATTTAGCAGTCATCAGCAAAAAGGGGACAGCCTACTAATGGCGGAGGTGATCATTTTGATGTTTCAAAATAGGGTGACTTCTCTGGAGGGAGACAATCTTTGTCAGGACAAGTCTCCACGTGACTTCTGCTAATAGTTAAGACCAAGACAGAGGTCAGGCATAGAAAACTGTTCTCTTTGAGCCCAGCTAACACCACGTAGTCCACCTCCCCAACAGCACTCACTGTGCGCACCAGCTCTGCACCTCTGTTAACCTTAGCTCCGGTCCCTTGCCCACCAGCAGCAGCTCCCAGTAGGAATGCCCACCAGACACAAAGCCATGGTTGGCACAGGGAGCTTTCCTAAAGCTCTGCAGAGCACCAGTGACTGTTTCCCTGAACTGATGGAGGGACAGTAGGAAGGAAAAAGGGAAGTGTGAAAACCCCTCGACTGGGATGGCAGAGGCCTCTTGTGCGAACAGCTTGCTTTTAATACTGTCAACACAACTGAGGAACAGGCTTAGGCTAATCACTGTCTTTCCATTGATTTCACTGACCCCTGAAGCAAACCCCAAGAGTCTGAGCACACTCAGAGCAGATATACAGAGAAGGAATCCAGAAAAAAAGTAAAAGGGGAACACTGCATTATATAACTGTTTTGTGATACAACTGAAACATCGTATCCTGCTGAGCACAGCTGATGGTGTCGACACAAAACAGGAGAAAGATTAAAGAGGCAACCAAATACCTTGTCTGCCCTCAGGTAAGCAGAGCAAAAAGTACAAAGCTACAAAGCAGCTGGGCATCTGCTGTGGCAAAGGCATCCAGAGAAAAATGCACCATTATACTCCCAACTAATGCGTGCACCTGAAAAATTCTCCAAGCATGAGCAAGCAGCAAAGCTTCCCAAGTGGCCTTAACATAATATCCTGGATCATCTACTGGATCCTGCAGGTAATTTTTGTTTGTTTGTTTTCCACTGTGCTGTGACTGCTTCAACAGCACAGCATACTCTTATCTGCAAAATTTCAAAGCCAGTTTGTAATGTGAAATTACGGACCACCTACCATTTATTTCCACATATCTCTATTTTACTCTGAAATATGGTCTGCACCTCCCTGAAAATAGAGGAGCAATGTGATCATTGTGATACTCATTAAAAACTCACTATTATTCTACAACTTTAAAAAAAAAAATTAAAAGAAACTTCTCCCAGCATTAAAAATAACCTTCTTTAAAATCATTGTTTTCTAAATTACTCCTACAAAACAGCTCACTTTTCCTCTCCTGTGATCGCAAGCATAGGCTACATTCATTCCACCTTCACAGGGGAACTGAAGGCTGAATCCTCCCAAATTCACATAGGCCCCCTGCACCACTGGAGCTCTTCAAGAGCCTGGGCCACCACCACTGTCGTGGGGACACGCTGCTCCAGCCAAAGGGCTCAGAGCCCTTCCTCAGCCCGAGGCTCACAACGCACAACGGCGGAGAAAGCAGCTCCGAGGACACGGGGAGAACCGGCACTAACCCACCCTAGCTCAACATAACCGAGGCCGGCTGCGGTAAGGCGGTGGCTGTCCCCAGGCGGGTCCCGGGGCAGGGCGGGCCCGGCCGCTATTAAAGGGGCTCCGGCGGGCCGCGCTGCCCGGTAGGATTCCCGTGCGGGGCTGTAGCGACCTGCGTGCAGCTGAACACCGCGGCCAAGATACCTCTCCTGGGGCCGGGCACATGGAAGGTAACGGGGATCTCGGTGGCGCACC